TCTTGTTTTCACAACTATTAAGTTTCAGTCTTCCCTCCAACTCTACTCTAATGTTTCATGCACTGGAGGTAAGAACATCTTGAGGAAACAGAACCTACTTCCAGAAATTCATTTAAAAATATTAGGAAAAGATATCGTTAATGACGCACTCTAAAATATTCTGACTTTATTTTTATTTTCCTAGAAAAGACCCTATACGATGTGTGGCAAGAGACATTTCCAGACTAAATCTAAAATAGACAAAAATTCTTAACTAAAAGAAAAATAGATTTCTCTGTAAAAATCAAACATTAAACATGAAATGATAGCCCTAACCCTTGCCTCTGAGGCAGAGATCTGACAAACTGAACATCTCGTTAATTCTTTCGGTACTTACATTTCAGTACATTGTATCAGGTATCCACCATAGCATAAGACTGTACAGGTGAATGCAGCCAAGATTCCGACTAGCTGAGTCAGCAATTAAGATGTTAGCTACTTACCGCAAAAACCCCTCGCACAACCCAGCCATGATGCTGCCGTAATGTCTTGCCGTAAGCGTTGTCTTAAAAGAAAGAAAAAGAAAAAATAAGTTCCCAACTGTATTCTTAAATTTTCTTCCAGCTCATTTCCACCCAGCTGTGAGAGGATTTTTTCTTACAACTCCACACAGCAGTGGAGTGTTCAGTGTAAACAGCCAGTGCTCAGATCTGCCCCTGCTCTCAATTTCGTCCAAGCGGAGCTCTTAAGCCCATGCGAGTTAGCCACTATTCCTGTGGCTGGCAGTAGCAGTAACCAAAAGGCCTAATACTGGCTGCCCCACACATTCTCTGCACTCACTGGAGGGCATGGGAGAATACTCCACCCTGGATACAGCTGCTCGGATTACTTGCTGGACATTATTTCATGAAAAGTGCTTTAACAATTTTCTGCAAATGAAGAAAGTTATTCACCGGTACGTTTCTTCATTATCCGACCATTTCTACAGATGGGCAAATAGAATTTCGCAAATAAAAGTTACCCAATAAATCCTCCGTCAATGGAGATCAATTTATTTGCAAGTACAATTTTTGTTATCTGATTAGCCCTAGCTCTGCCCATGCCTCACCCCCACGGTTCTCCTCCTCTCTAGTACTCCGTTCAGTGCAAGCTGCTGAACAGTGTGCCAACTGCACCATACTATGGGGAAGACCCTCTGCACAGGGGCTGAGCAAACACTAGGTGCCTAGTACTGTCATTTCAGCTCTGTGCACTTTCAGCAGCTCCCACAGCCAGCTGTTTAACATCTTAAGCACTGGGCTTTCCCATGTAAACAACAGATACAGCAGTTACTGTGCCTACCTCACAGGGATGCCAAGAGGCTCAGTAAAGAAAAGCCCTATATAAGCATAAAGTTTCTTACCAAGTTTTAACTTGCTTTAAGATACATTTGGGGTTGTTTCCCCCTCCCCCATTTTAACTACATGTAAACATACAGTGGGGGGAGAGGGGGAATCCCATCAAATAAGGACTCGCCTCGTACATAGTTATCTGTAAATAGGGTATTTGGCTCAAGATTCCAGTTTTCAGAGAAGGTATTTCTTGAAGGTGAGCTACAGGGAACACTAATTTTAATATTAATAAGAGAAGAACACCCAGACCCTAAATAATGGAGAAAAAGCTCAATTATATAAACAAAAAAGTAAGAACAATAAAGCAATTGGCACTTACTCAGAGCTGTTTGAATATTCTTTTCTCCATTCTTAACTTCTGTCAAAAATCCCTTCAAAAACTTTAAGCCTCTGCCAGGAAGAAACCAAAAAAAAATAATTTTTTTTTATCACCAGACAGCCCCCACAAAAATTGTTGAGTGAAATGGAAGGGTGTGTAACATCACTACATAGGTATACAAAAAATCACTGGTTTCACATAACACTTTAAACCATTTTGGCCAAAATGGGACATTACTAAAGGCTGCTCACTGTGAGCAGAGTCCCTGTCTCACTGCCTAGGTGGAAATGCCTGGAGAAAACCCAAGTGAAGTCTCCTCTTGGCCTATTCACTTGTAACAGCAAACACAATATTGACTAGACATGTTCTTCATCTGGGTAAAGAGATGGATCCATTACTAATCCCTTTCAGCCACCACTCCCCAACCCCCCCAGACAGGCTGTGCTCCAAGTCAGAGTTTATGTGCTGTAGTCTAGGTCCTCTGGATGACTCAGAGGCATGGCAGGAATAGTTACCCAACAAGACTATTCAGTTATTTCTCTAGGGAAAAGTGGGTATTTAGACCTTGTGATTGGTATGCCCAATACTGGGACCATAACTGGGATGTTAAATTTGAACACAGTGTGTTTTGACTACTCCGGTGTGCAAAGAAACTAGCAAGAATTGCTTCCTGAGACTGATCTACATTGGTGAAGGGATCTGGGTAATATCCTAACACCTACAATTAAACTGAAGATTTGACACCTGGCAGTTACCTTTTTAGCCACAAAAGGGCCTCTGTTGCAGAGTTTCTAACGCGTGCTACCTCAGCACTCACTTCATGGAGCACTATCTTCTGGAGAGTGTTGAACTCTTCTCTGTTGGTTATATATTTCTGATTTATTTTCTGAAGAGAAGGCAACAGTTTATACTTTTACATGGTTCCATTTTATATAACAAAAACATTCTGGCTCACAAGGGCTATTTACCAGGCCTCTCACACACAAAAGGAATGCCGGTTCCCAGATTAATTCCTTGCAGCGTACATGGAGTAGTAGACTCCAAATCTGAGGGGGGAGTGCCTTGCTTTGTTCAACAGCCCCCTGACATTTTAAATCTGGAGTGGAGTGACGGGCCATGAAGAGAGTCCTGTCCATTCCCCCAGGAAAAATGAATACCTCAACTTTCAGAGAGGGAAGTTCATGCTCTGAGCACTTCAGGGAAAAGAAAAACGTGGTTAAGGTATTACTACAGTGGCAGCTGGAGCAGCAGATTCTATACGAGACTCAGAATGTTTGTTTTATTTTTTTTACAAATGTAGCTTGTTTCATATAACCCACCCTTGTAAAAAACACAAGCCAACGCAATCAGACTGTCTTAACAGGCTCTTCTTGTATATATTGGCGATATATGTTGCCTTTCCACTCTCAGTACTATCTTTCCCAGTCCTTTTTGGTTTTTACAGCATTCTTTTCTGTTAAATTGTATGTTTTTTATGCACTTGCTCAATGCTAGTAGCTACAGCAGCACCTCGTGCTGTGGTAGAAGAGAAGGAGGCACATTGGGTAAGCGAGGAAGCTATTTATTTTCCATTTTTAAAAAGTATTTCTTTGAAGCCTGAAATAAGTTATGTTCCCCATTAGGTGTTTAATGTTTTATTTTAAGTGATAAATATTCTTTTACTTCATCTTGCGAGTAGCACACGAAACCTTTTCAAGCTTGGAGCCAAAAGTAAATGTTCAGATTCAGAGGCGGCTCATCAGCTGGTGTAAAACAGCACTGACTTCAAAGGAGCTACGCTGATTTATATCAGCTGAAGACCTGGTCTCACAACATACTCTCTGGCTTCTGCTTGAGGAAGGAAATCTAATGTTTCTTTTCAGCTTACAGCATTAACAAAGCGGATGTGGCTAGTGAGGCCTTCACCTAAAACACTATCAGTACAGAATCTAAACAGCAACTTAAATCATATTCATTAACCACTATAATCTAGCATGCTGAATGGTTTATACCAGGCCATCACTCAAACGGAGTTTAAAAAAAATCTGGTTACACCCAGAAGTTGGACTGTATGGAAAAAATATTCTGCACTTACAGTGCACAGTGTAACGTCCCTTTATGCAAATATTACAAAACCTCCAGATATCAATCCCACCCCTGTATATTCCATATGCTTGATCTATCTTCACCTGCTCCAAACACAACACACACTTCCTTTGTAAGGGTTACTGTATTACATTAGATCCTATGGGTACGTCTATACTTACCTTCGGGTCCGACAGTAAGCCATCTATCTTCTGGGATCGATTTATCGCGTCTTGTCTAGACGCGATAAATCGATCCCGGAAGTGCTCGCCGTCGACGCCAGTACTCCTGCTCTGCGAGAGGAGTACGCGCAGTCGACGGGGGAGCCTGCCTGCCGCGTCTGGACCCGCGGTAAGTTCAAACTAAGGTACTTCGACTTCAGCTACGTTATTCACGTAGCTGAAGTTGTGTATCTTAGTTCGAAGTGGGGGGTTAGTATGGACCAGCCCTATGTCACTCTGTGTTTCTACATACAGTCATAACTGTAACAGCAAGCCAGCTGGGTAATGAATACCATGTGGGTACTAGAGATCAGTAGACTGTAAACTCAATTTCTGCCTATCTCATGGTTTTAAACACATCTTTAAACTCTCAGGTATTAAAGATGGAACAAGCCACCAATAGGTGGCATCCAAAAGATGGAAGAGGCAAGGAGGGAAAGGAGTTCTTTAGAGTAGCACAAGAATGTATTACTTGGAATAATGGGGTGAAACTAAGCAATGTAAAAAAGTTACGTTGAATTATCAGGGGAAAACCCTATTCTAATGGTGAGATCTATAAGAATGCTGAATAGTTTTCCAACAGAAGTGATAGTAGCCTACCCCTTGAATCATTTAAAATCACAAGAGGAGAAATTGCAATTACTATTATTTATTAAGTACATATACTGGGGGGCCAATCCTGCATTGTCTGGAGTGTGGAATAGTGGACTTGCTAAAGAAAAGGCTTATCTAATTTCTATGATTTTAAAATATTCGATAGATTGAGTATGGGATTATTGTTCATATCATTAGATATCAGTTTGGTTGTGCACCCTGACTTAAGGAAACAGGTATTTACATTTATACACTATTTGTTTGGGTGTTTCAGCATCTGTTTAGTCTTAGGTAGAATATCTTAAGTTTTGTTTTGTTGAAAAGTCAGTGCTAGAAATGGCTATTACCTTGATATTACCTACAAAATCCATTTTAACAGGAGCAAAGACTGTTGGTCCAAGTTTGTCTAGAAGAAAGAAGGCAACATTTTTAAAGCAGTTTCTTAGTACTCATGACTCAGCAATATCTATTTCACCTACTATCAAAAAGCTTTTCTGAATAGTTAAAAGGAGAAACAGAAAGATGGAAGTCCTTTTCTTCCTTCTGTTACAGGGCCAAAAACTCCAATCTGTACACGAGCCAAAGACACCAAAATAATAGGACCTAGCTCTTATAGCAAGTTTTATCCATAGATCTTAAAGCACTTTATAAAGGAAGTCAGTATCCTTATCCTCAAATAGGATTAAAGAACTGAATGATCTTAATGAACCTGAGCCACACCTCAGCCATTTCTCTTATTAGGCAGCAATCAAAAAGATTCATGGCATAGCTGCTAGAGACACTGACTGTAGTGAAAGTAAGTAACCACTTACCCAAAACTGGCACTATCGCGTAACACGATTGCAGAAATTCCTCTGTGGGTATGCCGTCACCCTCCTGGAGTTCAATGTCATTAAACCTGGAGATTCCAGTATAAACACAAAGAAAACGTTAAATACTCCTGTCATACTTTACCCACAAACAATGGAAGAAGGGTTTGCTTTTTTGAAAGGCGGTCACACTGCAATCAATATTTCACAAGAACTACATACTGAGTTTTGTTCTGTAAGGGACATGAATGTTTGAATGGAAATCACGAGTTTTATATACAAAGACAAGATACGCCTCGTTTGCTCACAAACAAGTATAAAACCTGGAATCAGATCTTTGATTCAGACGCATTTACTGACAAAGGCAAATTTTACATTATGCCTGTATGGTGAGGACAGAAGGATGAGCTTATGGTTAACGCACTGGACCGGAACTCAAAAAGACTGGTATCATGTCAGAGATTGAACCCAAATTTCCCATGTGATCTTAGTCACATGTGCTTTTGCTCCTCAGTTCCCCACCTGTGAAATGGAGAAAATGTATGTCTTGTGTGTCTTGGCTATTTTGACTGTAAGCTCTTCTCACTACATGCAGATACTGTGCCCAATGCAATGGGGCCCTGATCTCAGATTCTGAATTTGGGGGTGGGGAACTGATTATCATGGTTTCAGCCTGTTCCTACATCTCTTAAGCATTAGAGAATTCTATTTTACACTACTGCCTCTTTTGTACAGTTTCAATGGAGAAACTGTATTACACACCCGCTTCATTTGAATAAGGCAAACTAGACATGCACTGAGCCACTAGCATAACCAGATCCTTTTTACATCAGTTTCACTGTGCCAGCTTTTGCTATTGGTGAATGTAGCCCAGTGATTTTGACAGTACAGAAACTGGCTCTTAATCACACCAAGGAAAAAATAATTCTCAACCTAGAGACGTACCACAGTCAATTTAGCAGAGACAGATAGTTACTTTAAATAGAGTAATTTTCCAGCTTGTGATTAATTGACCAACAATCAAATTTTCAGAAGTTCAACAATTATTGTTGCCAGTTACTCTTGCAAAGGAATCACCCCATGGATGGTGGGGGTGAGTTAGGGAGGGAGGGAGGATAGAAATCACAAAAAGTAGTATTTAAGTGATGGACCTTTTACCATACTACTCAACTATTAGACTCCCTTGTTCCAACTCCGAGCACTACAAAACGTATTATAGCTTTACTACAAACAGTACAATTTACAAAATTATCTCCATTGGGATTTATTTAAGTGAATACGCCATTGCATGGATCAAATGCTCAGGTGATTAAGGGTTTTAACCATACAGTCTCAATATACCAGCAACTGTTCATCTACCGCATGCAGGAGCTATGCTACCTATTGTTCATGACACTGAAGAAGGTAGGTAAATCCTCTTCATTTCCTTCTCCCCAATGTGATGGAGCTGGTCCACTTATGGAATCCATTGCCAACTGCAGCGATTCGTTAGCATTGTTGCCCTCTATGGGCAGCATCTTGCTTCCTCCATCGTCTTTAACTTCATCACCTTACATTTAAAAAGAAAGGAAACCTCAATTGCTGAATGATACGTTATCTAATTTGAATGAGATTCTTTGACTAGTTCTTCTCTTGTTATCCACCTTACTAATTTAATGGTGTCTTCTAAGGTATTCACAATGAATGGCTCTATTGATCTTTGCATGCACACTTTTCTACAGGCACTAGCAGGACTACACAATACTGGCCACTCTTGCTACTCAAATTGGAACAGCTCCAGCTCCATGGAAGAGATGTCACTTTGTGAAATGTCATCACATCTTTTACTTTATTCTTCTTTTTCCTTTGTCCATTGAAGGGAAAAAAATGCAACTAAGACTAAAAATGTGCAAAAGGATGGCAGTGTTTGCCTAAGATACCCTATGTGAGAGCCGTATTGAACTTCCTGGAAAAGGATTAAATGTTGACTCACACGTGTCCTGTTACCTTACCCGGATAGAAAGGGCTGTGGGAGTGGCTTGGTGGAGAAAGGATCTAGGGAACCCGAAGTTCAGCCAAGACTGGGGAAAAGGTTTGGGCTGAAAGTATATTGTATTACCCTTAATTTCTAAGTAAATGAAAACCAAACCCAGGGAAAAGGGGAAGTGGACTTGGTTTTAGAGCAGGTGGGAAGAGCATGGGAAGTGGAGACCTCTCGTCAGACAAGGCTACACAACATCTTCACAATAGGAACCCGTAGTCGTTTTCCTTTCCAATTACTGTATTTCTGATTTTTCAACTATTTCTTCTGCCTATGCAAGACCAAACTAAACTGAATAGGGGAAAACAAGGGCAAAGGAAATTCTGGAGAGCCAGTGGGAGAGCTAAATATTTGTGACAGACAGAGCATAATTTGGTAAGCTGAGAGGAACCTTGATACCTCTTATGTTTGTGGACAAATTCTGCTAGACCACCGGTTGCTAGTGCCTGTTCTGCATAATGTACAGTAAGGGAAGCACAAGTGTTTGAGTCTGACCTAGGCTACTCAACAAATAATAATAATAAAACCTCAAACACTCCAACGTAGTGTCTCAGGGCTGGATTCCATCATATACTGAATTGTTTTTATATAACCACATTAGCATAAGTATCAGGCAATTTCTGAAACAATGCCAAATCAAAATATAAATAAAATGTTTTAACTTTGCCTATTTAGGAGAGATGCCAGCTAGAGTAATGGGTACTTTAATACAATGCTGTCTGAATAGTAGTGGAATTTTCCTAAAACAAATAACCTCTTAATTTAAGGAGGAGGAGTTTGGGGTTTTCTTTTTGAAAGATATGTCAGTGCACGTATGAGTGAACTGAAGACCAGCTGCTCAGAAACATGCACACACAGCTCCCATATGCACTCTTGATAATCTGGCCTTTAGTATTTGAAAAGGGTGCCAATGGAGGGCCTTTGGGAATGAAGCCCCTGGTTCACAGAGCATGTGCAGTACAAGTGTTGCCTGAGTGCATTGCCAGTTTCTGTCAATTGTGACCCAGATGAGCTCTAGTGTGAGAGAACAGTTTAGTCCTGTACCTCTTCAGTTCTTGGTCTCTCTACCAAGGCCACCAACAAGGGTGTGAATTGTGTTGGGAAGACAACCTCTGGGAAATGGACAGAGATCAAAGTAAAACGTCAGTAATCTTGTAACAAGTGCTGACATACTCCGTCTCTCTTGGGAAGTGAGATATCTCACACTCTTAAAAGACTGATTGTGCTCAAAAGTACAGGATAAGATTTCTTTCCATACGTTTACCTGCCAACTTCTTTTCAACATGGTTTTCAGCTGAAACGTCACAGTCTCCCTCATTAGATTTCAGATGTGAGGGTATCAGAGTGTTAAACAATGTTTGCTCACAATGATTAGTTTCTGCCTTTACGGAGCCATTTTCACAACTGTTCAATTCCATCTGCCTGATGGAGGGGGGAAAAAAACACAAATGTAAACTAAAGAGCAAATGTAACACTTTGCTTGGCATGTCTCTTCCTATCAAACTGTATACAACAATGTGAAAGAGGGACTTGAAATCCAAAATTGTTGCCAGTTCTAGATTGCTGTGAGAAAAATGTTTGTCTAAAAACATTAGAAGGAACCATGTGGCTCCAAAAATGTTTTTCCAGTGTGTATATTTACTGAAACAATCCTAAACCAAGAATATGGAATATTTGAGAGAGAAAAAAGTAGATATTTTCTTAAAAAAGAGGGGCACAGCCAACTTAAAATCCAGTTGGGTAAAAAAAAAAAAAAGGTAAAGGGGCAGATATTGTATCTGAAACAGTCCTGCTGCCACAGTTTTAGTCATATTCCCCCCCCCCCCAGATATCTTTTTCTCCATTGTTTTCTGAGTGAACAGCCCAAACATAAACAACAGGTGAAAATGGCCATACAAGTGGGAAAACAAACTATACACAACAAGTCATCAAATGCACAAAGAACTCCTCCCAATCTCAGTTATAGTAATTTAAGGTATTATTTGTAACAATAACATGTAAAAAAGTTTTCAGACGAAGTGCGTTGCCTTTAAGGAACTGTTTGCACAGTTAGAACAAAAATCAAAATTTTATACTAAAAAGGAATTAAATATTTACTGGAATTAGTCTACTGTTACTAAAACTAAGAAAATCCAGAAGAGAGATTACCCTTTTCTGCAAACAGAATATGTTTTAACAACTCTTGTTTTTTAAATACTCGGCTTAAAAGATACATCAGAGACCTGGGGAAAATGTTTGCTTTGCATTGGAGGCTGATAGGGGGCACGTCACCAGTGCAGATGAAGGTGGTTGGGACAGACCAGATTTTAAAGAAATGTTCCAGTGGCACATTATACTGGCATTGGTGGCATTATTGGTCACTGCTCCGATGGACAGCTCATTCACTGCCTCCTGATACCTTTGTTTTCTGCAGCAGTATTCATAATGGCAATGCAGGGAGCAGAAACCAGAGGTGGGGAAGAGAGCAGTAAAGCGTGTGTGAGATGGTTGGCTAGCCACCACCAGCAGAAAGGCATAATAAGGATAATGGTAAGAGAAGTAGTCAAGAGGGAAAAGTGTGAGCGAAGTGAAAGAAAATCCACTTAGCAATAGAGTTTGTGCTTGTATCTGGTATTTGCAATATCATCAATACATTCAAAAAAAAAAAACACAACATAGGAGAGTCAGACATAACCAAAAAAAATTATGCCATTCTGGGGGGGAAAGGGGGAAGGGGAGGGGGAGAGTGTCACTGTACCTTTCTGTTGTAGTGCTACTGGAGGAGACGGGAGGGGTTACCTATAAAAACAGAAAATTTATCCTTAAAATAAAGCAGCATTTTGTGCTCCTCAAACTTTACATTTATTAACTCAAACGGAAGTCAATGAGGAAAATTAAGCTTATGCTTCATACTTCCCTGATCTGGGGCCATATGAACATATGCAATGAGGTTTGAACCATGAAAATATCGGACCCTTCTCAGGTAAACGATCTATTCCGAAGGTTACCGGGCAAAGATCAAAAGAGAGGCTAATCCCCAGGCAGCGTACTGCCTACCTCCACAAACAAAACAAACTAAATATGGCAATCCTGTGGGAGCTGGGGAACTGGAGGGGCCATTGTGAAAGGCTGGGTAAAGGAAAATGAAACCCTCTTCCTGAGTATTTTTAAATTAAAAAACCCTACACACGCCAGATGAAAAAACCACGTATGCCTTCCTCCCTTCATTCTAATCTGTTGTTAGCCAGGAGAGTTGCTCCAGCTTTACAAATATACTTGGGGAATTTGAGACTGTGATAGTGAGACCAGTGAGATGAATTCTCCATCTTCTGGGGAGCTTACAATTGCAAACATGGTGCTGGGGTTATTTTTAAAATTTATTTAGGGCTTCCATTCCAGCTAGCACACAGTCACAATATTCTGGGCCATGGATATTCACAGCTGGATCAGGTCCCAAGTATTACTGAGCAAGGAGTTTAAACTGCTATTAACAGTAAGTGAATGGTGACTTAAATGTACAGTTGAGTCCTGCATCACTTGCAATCCATATGACACACCAGGATGTCACCAGTGGATGATTACTATCTCGATCCTGGGCTAAAACCCCCATTCCTTACTACCACAGCTACTACTTTCCAGGAAAGGCAGTATGCTTTCCATGTTGAGATTGACAGCAGAGATTGCACAACATTACCTTGTTTGATCTGAGAACAGCCAAGTGGGGAGATCCCGATGGGGTGTGATGTAATAACTCAGAAGAGAAGGCCACATTTGCAATCTGCATACATTCTTCAAGAGTCTTCAGGAAAGTGTTACATGTTGATTTCAACAGAGCTCCCATATCAATTCCATTCTGTGAAATAACCAGATGGCAAGACACTTTATTTGCCATCAACGCCTAATTTGGAAAGACTGACGTTTACAAAACCCATCATCCCAACAGTCATGTTTCTTAATCATCAGAAGCTCAATATCTTCAAAGAACTAAACATAAGAGGCCATCTTATCACAGCGATGACAGCAGACACTATTGGGATTGCATGAAGATGTTCCTGTTGCTGTCAGCCTCCTCTGACACCAATCTCAAAACGCAGCATTTCAACAGCAACATCTATTTATATGCCATTTGCCCAGAGTTAAAACATGGTAAACACATGCCATGGTGAATTCAGTATTGGTCCAGGACCTGACATTCTGCTATTAGGTTGGCATGACCAGAGGACACCATGGCAACAGAATGAAAAGCTGACAATTCAAGTGGCCGAGGATAACATTATTTATGTATTGTACCTCTACCCAATGAAAGGTGACTGCAATTGAACAAGGTGCAAAACAAAGTACTATGCTGGCACCAAACCCCTACTTTGTCTACATAACATACTGTGGACAAAGGGTTATATCTGTCCTGACCCTTGTGTATTAGATGCAACATAGAAACATGTTATTGATAGCGGATTGCTATTAGGTTAAACCCTTGCAGCTCTGAATAATCCATTGCCAGGTAAAGGGACACTAAAAATATTGACTCATTTTCCCCACAACACTGAATTATGAAGTGGGTAAATACAACAATTTTTTGTGTGTTTGTTACAACAGTTCTAACAACTGCTTACTAGTCCTTTATACAAGACCAAATTAGGCACAATAACATTACTACCACCACACAGTTTGTTAAATCCATCATCAAGACTTCAGCCAGTGTCTCTACTTGGCTGGCTAGGACACCACAATAACTCCCCTTCATGCAGTCAGCTGCCAGCCCCGCAACTTGTGAATAAAATTCCTCTGGGAGGCACCACAGGAGGACTGTACAACTTGGAAAACCACACCTCCTGTCCGAGAGGCTAAGTTTTTCTCACATATAATCCTTCCACCTCCCCACCCCTCGCATTGAGAAGGCGCATACCCTCTTCTTTAGAAGGCCATTCCCAAACTGAGCTCCTTCTGTTAGGAAAGCTTGTAAGAGATGCCTCTGGAACTGGTATTTCTTTTCTAATGCGAAACCAACAAATGTTGTTAAAACTCCGAAAGCCAGTCAGCAAGTTTCTTCCTTTAGTTGAGTTTCACTGTGGCTCTACATTATCTCTTAGTCATTACGTATTCAGCCTAAGAACAGAACTGACTGAAGGAGGATTTTAGCAGTCCTGGACTGCAGTCTATTTAGGATCAGGTGCTATACACGTCTTGCATAGCATCTCTTCATCAAGTATGTGCACTTTATTCCTGGAAACATGAACTATATGCACAAGATCAGTGAAACCATAATTTTTTTTTGAGGCATTACTATCATGATCATAGTTACTGTATATGACCTCAGTACTAGCCAGCATAATGGATAGCAATACATAATAAAAATAATATATTGCTAACTAAAGTCTGTTGCTTAGGTACTTTTCTCCTATGTGCATTCAGCAGGAAAGTCAGTGCAACATTAAACTGGATAACATCCTTCCTTAAGTCATGATGGGTTCATTCTGTGAGGTGTTCAATCCACAGGACAAGTCCAGAGTGCTCAGCACCCAGTGGGATAGGGCTGTATGAAAACAAAGTTGTACCTCTGATTCTGATACACCACAAATGCTAGCTTCCTTAGTTTTATCCACTTGCTGAACAAGGAGGTCACAATACAGTCTAAGCTCTGACATTTTGGTTTTCAAGGCTTCGGTGTTTTCAGTGAGCTCTAAAAATGAAACAAGAAGAGAGTTGGACACATCCCATCAGTCTTGCAGTAGATGTTTTTGGAAAGTTGAGGAAATAACTAGTACTATTTCAATGCAGTCCAACCCATCCACATTCTCCATTAATCTGAAAACGTAAGCCTTAGAACTAGGATGCCCATATGTTCACTTTATGACAGTTGAAAAACATGCACCTTTTGATATTTGCCAACACAAACAGGAATAGAGTGTTCCAGCTGAGCTGTTAAATTATAACACACAAACTTACTACAAAAGAGAAAGAAAAGAGTCTCCACCACAAGATGTCTGACTTCATGAGCCTTTTTATTCAAGGACTAAATCCCTACATACTATAATGTGCCTGTTTGCTAAATAATCTGAGATATAAATAACAGTTGTCAGAGGGTCTTAGCTCCTTGTTTGTAAACTACAGGAGGGTGGAAAAGGGAGCTTGACAAAGACAGCTCATCTTAACACCCATCTATCTCATTATTCATAATTAAGGGACCTGAATGCCTGAAAGCCAGTTTAAAAACCCCCAAATAGATTATGAATGATCCCCAAATTAAAAAAAGTTAATTTTGTTAGCTGAAAGTATTTCAAGTTCAGCGAATGCACCCAGAGTATTTCACCTTGTGACAGTGTGTCAACTTGTGAATTTCATCTTGCTTTGTGTCATTTTATTGATTAAAATGTATAGCCAATTAATTTTGACAACACTTGGGTTTCAATATTAAAAATGTTCAGGAGACCAAATTACCAATGTATTGTCTATAGACAAAACAGTCTTGTACAGGAAAGAGAGATAATACGTCCCCAATCCTTCTGAGAAGCAGGTTCTCACAGCATGTTCTTTTCACCTTGTGCAGAAGATGTGTTCCCAAAATAAGCCTCCAAACCACCTCTATTTATAGTAGACCTGATTACAAATAAAAAGCATGTCGTCATCCAAGACTAATATGAAAATACTGGGCCCCAATTACCTTGGTTTTTTGGTAGCATGGTGTTCCCCTCTTATATTTTGTTTTTGAACACAGAATTCTGAACTAAATGGGCCACTCCTTACCTGTACCAGGGTAGAATACTTACATATCTTGCCTTTGACAGTTTCCTTATGCCAAATGCTGAGTTATACCCTTACAAGGTATTGTGGGATACTTACAAGTGAATAAGAGTAATCATAACAAGATTTCACATGATTGCCCAACACTTATATTTAATATACACCACATTAACACTATGTGCATAATACTTTTAATGCATGGGTGTGTAACCTATATGCACTGGCTAACAGTTCACTATTGTAAACTTGCATTGTGGAGTAGACCCTGCATTTTGTGTCTGACTCTTTGTGACTTGTGTTGAGAGCCAGTTTGAATTGGTGTATTTATAGTCTGATGCGATGCATAGCAAGGCCAGAGATGAAGGGAAAGTTTCTCACCTTGGGGAGAGTTAACACAGGAAGTGTCACCCAGATGGTGCCAGATTATTGACTTGCTAATAGAAGAACAGGAGTACTTGTGGCACCTTAGAGACTAACAAATTTATTAGAGCATAAGCTTTTGTGGACTACAGCCCACTTCTTCGGATGCATATAGAATGGAACATATATTGAGGAGATATATATACACACATACAGAGAGCATAAACAGGTGGGAGTTGTCTTACCAACTCTGAGAGGCACTCTCACAGATCTTGGGAGACAGACCTGTCCTCGCTTACAGACAACCCCGCAACCTAAAGCAAATACTCACCAGCAACCACACATCACTGAACAAAATCACTAACCCAGGAACCTATCCTTGTAACAAACCCC